ATTATATATTTATGTAAATGTATATATATAGTGCATTATGTGTGAATGTTTAAATGTATGTGTAATATAATATAAATATAATTAGTATGTCTAATTTGTATTTATTTATATTTATGTAGTGTATATATATATATATATATATATATATGTTGTTAAACATGTGTGTGTATATATATAAAAATATACGATAAATGTGATATAAATTAATAAGAACAGAACTGATAATAACAAAGCGTGAATAAATAAATATATATATATATATGCTATGTTGCGTGTGATTATGTATATGTGTTTAAGCATAAACGTGTGTGTATATATTAGTAGAGATTGTGTGTGTGTGTGAATATAAATATATATTCTGTTTGAGATATGTAGTGAAGATACATGTCTGTATTGTAATATGTGTGTGTATTAAAACGTGTATACATATGTTATGCATGTGAAATGTATAATCAGTGGGTGCACGTGTGAAATTTGGGTACACTACACTGGCTATGTGATCTAGTGCAGATGTATGGTGCACTATACTTGTTGTGTGATCTAGTGCAATTGCACGAGAATCTGAATATCATATGCTGGCTGTGTGATCTGGTACAAGATAATTCAGAACGTGTTTTGAAATGTATAGTTCTGATGTGCGTGTATTTTGTGCGTGTATTTTGTGTGTGTGTTTGTATTTAATCATACATAGAAATTAAGGTCTTAGATAAAAAATAAGTGAATTGGAAATGTGAGAGATTTAGAAAGAGTGTAAAGTGTAAGAACCCTGAATACCTAATCGTTTAGTCTGAACTGAGGAAGGGATGGTGCGTGTGTGGTTGAAGTTCAGCAGATATGGTGAATCTACACATAGATAAAGTTTGAAACCTAGTGCAGACTTGGATAAGTATTTGTGAGTGTGAGCAACCTAGCAAATGTAACTGCTGTGCCCATTGTAAAATTTATGTGTGTGTGGTATCCATGCAGAGGGAATCTATTTCGTCTCTCCTTGATAAAAATATAAACAGCATCACACGATAAAATCTTAGAGATGATATTTTGAGTGTATTTTGATATTTCGAGTGTAAGTTTGATTTAAAATAAGAACAAGAATTAGGTTATAAGAGTGAATATTAAAATATGTTTCGTGTGATGTGTAACACCCGAAAATTATTTTTTTGTAATTTAGGATTTTATTCTAAATGTAATAAAATAATTTTTCAATTTTTCCTTTTATTTTTATTTTAATTTAGAGTAAAAAATAAAACAAAATTGATGGATGATGAAATTGAAAGCAATTTTGGGAAAAATGGATTAAAATTTGGGTTCTTAGAGTATTTTTAAAAGAAAAATCGGAAACCAAATGTCAAAACGCAATTTAGAAAAAAATTGTCACGTAGGATGCACGGTCAGCAGCCCAAACGAACTAGGACGCGTCACGTGGCAACGGGCACTGACACAGTGCCACGCGAGCGATCCGCATGTCCGCGATCGAACGACCCAGGTTCGTTCCCCCGCGCACGGATGGCCTGAATGCGCTCCCTCCCAAACGCGATTGAACGATCGGATTCAAATGCGATCAGACGATTCAGATTACATCATAATGCACGGCCTAGATTGGATAGCGATGAACGGTCCATATTCACCCCCTATTTAATCGCAATCGGACGGTCCATATCAAATGCAATGGACGGTCCAGATCAAATGCGATGGACGGTCCAAATCAAACGCGGACGGATATGAATAACTCTCATTCGCACCAAACCCTAACCCTAGCCACTAGAATCCCTCGCCAGAGAAGAAGACCTGGCTGCTAAGAAGGAGTCGCCGCCACCCGCTGCTGCATCGGAACCCTTTCCGACTGCCAAAAAAGATAAAAACTTCTTATTTTGCTCGAAATTCAATTTTAAGCTCACCCATGGCCAAATTGGAGCAAAAAGACCGGTCAATTGCCCAAAAAATACTGGCGAAGCCTGGCAGCCACTGTGAAAAATTTCACAAAATGCCTCCAATGGGGCCCTTCCTAATTCCCATTATGTGTAATTTTTTCACTGTTGTGATCACTGTATTTTTCTCTACAAGTTGACTGGAACAAAACACCCAGTCGCAACGTGCGCCAGATGAGCCGTCGCATTGAAGAGCCCCGCCACTGGTGAGTTTCAGTTTTTTGTGTTTTTTCAGCCAACCGATACCCTTTAACGTATTTTTTTGCATGGATCGATGCAAAATCGGCCAAATTCGGTCGAAAACAGCCAATCTGAGGCGGACCGCCCCTGCGGATGGCGGCGCCGTTGCCGAAGCACGACAGAACTGCCGTGCCAGAATTTTTAAAATTGGCCAAGTGGGCTCCAGGACTGATTTTGGGTTTATTTGGGACATTTGTAGATACTATTAGCGCGTTCTAATTCCCGAAAAAAAAAATTCAAGAAATCCGAAAATCACTCGTAGGGGCAGTCGAACAGCTTAGCTTTTCGAACATCAAATTGAGTAAGGATCTCTCACGCTATTTCCTATCATATAATTGAAGTTTAAATAAATAATAATATAGTATTTTGTGCGAATTTAATAAATGCGCATAATTAATTACGAATTGCTAATAGAGCCAAAATCGAAAATTATTCTCTGTTGATTTATTTTACAGTTTAAAGATATTATAGTATTTGATTTATCAATTTTATGGTTTGAATACATGTATTACTGCCTTATGTGATCACCGTTTAGTTGAAAAATTGAGATATGATTGTATTCTCTTATGTATATTTGTTTATTTGTGGGATTATGGTTGATTTGGAAAATGGAGACTAACAGAAAATGGAAAAGTTGTGTGGGAAGATGAATAGATGAAGACGGCAGCCTTACTGGATATTCTGAGAGATAGTGAACGGACCGAGTACATAGGGAACCCTACCGTGAACATTGTCTCATACCGGATGGGATATGGAGACATGATAATTTGGCGCTCATACCGGACGGGGTATAGGGACGGTCTGCTTCACCCTCATACTGGACGGGGTATTCAGATTTAATAATTTGATGCTCATACTGGATTGAGTATGGGGACAGTCCGTAATTGAAATTGTTAAAGAAAATAGTTCGCGTGTAGCAGAGACATCCTTATGAACCCTCATAAATACTAGTAGACTGGTGAAAAAGTGACAGTTATTATTTGGTTTATTGACGATGTATATAGACTTGTGATATGTGCGATGTTGCTGATTTTATATGAAACCATGATCTATATGATATTAATTGTTTACATAGGTTATTTTTATGAATCTCACTACGGTAAGTGAATGGTAAATAATTTTATTTATGATAAACGAATTTATTAAATTAAGTGCTCCATTTGTATGTTGATTTTATACTAACATTTATTTCTGTATCGGTGATATAGTGTGATATCTTTATTGGGTTAGTGTAGCTCATTCCTTATTTAATAATTTCATATCAAGATGATCAGGTTCCAGAACCCGATCCGCAGGAAGATTATGAATAGATACTAGATTTTTTTATTTTCAGTTTATTTCCTTATTCTTATATTTCTTTCAAAAGAGTGAATTTCGTAACGTTGTTAGGTACTTTAAGTTGTTTGTGTAAGGAATGTAAACTCTGAACATTTATTACACTTCCGCACTTTAATTATCTTTTATTTCTTTCGGATATTTTCAGGGTCGTTACAGAATTCTATTTTGTTGTATATTTTAATTGTGATACTTTGTTTTACATTTTTTTAATTATAAATATTATTATATTTTAAATATTGTGTGAGTGTATGTACGTAAATTTTCGTTATAGAATCATTTTTCTTATTGAACTCGTGAAACTCATTCTAATTCACCCACATCCAGGTCAAAGGAAGTCAATGATCAAAAGAGGATGACGAAGAAAACCTTGTTAGTTTCTATTTTAGATTTATAAATTAATTTAGATATGTCAATTATGTGTAAACAAATAATTATTCAATTACAAGGGATGTGTATTAAAGTGTAGTTCAGCTGTATATTTAATATTTATCTATTCTACTAGTTGAAAATATTGTGTTATCGTCCGAACCCACCAATATTGGGGTTCGAACTATTACAAGGCCAAATTAACTATTATGATACCATGTAAAGCATATGCAGTATCTTCTGAAGATGTTCTCATCATCACTTTTTGTGAATTAATTTAGATGTTGTTATACAACTTTAAAAAGAAAAGCTGAAAAAATGAAAATGAAAAAATAGTACGTAAAATCATAGATTAAAGAACCACATATATATAGGCACATATATATATATATGAGACAAATAGACATTAATATTTGAAATCAGCATCATAGAACTTTGCTAGTTGTTGCATTGTATTCACTTATTCTTTTCTCCTCTTCAGTTTCCAACACATAGAAACTAAACAATGGATGCACATAATATTATAAGTATATATATATATATATATATATATATATATATACACTTTTATATCAGTCCCTCGCATTTCACAAACCTCACCAGATAAGAAAGTTAGAAAAGCTAAACGAAAGGGAGTAAAAAATTATAAGAAGAAAATAAACAAACTGTTTTGGAAAGCCCGTCAATAATATATATTAACTTATAGAGATGAAGGGAAAGCCGATAGATTTGTGCCCATGCTTGGTGAATTAGCGGCTGGATCAATCTGTTGATGATCATGATCTGATCCACCTAGTATTGATCCTTCAACGTTTATGTCCCAAAACAGAAAGTTTGAGCATTGCTGTGATTCAACCCATTCATTCAATTCTTGTCTCCTTAAGCACTCAAGTGCTATCTCTCCTTCCTCATCCATGCTGCATGATTGCACTTGATGATCAATTGTCACCATGTTTTCGATGTTCTCTATCAATGGTGGCAGATAGTTCGTATCAATACCACTCGTGAATGGTGTTGCAAGAGGAGGAGGTACTAGTCCTTGATTAATGTTGCTGTGATCATGACTTTGATGATCCAAATTCCATGTCCCTGTGTTCAGGATTGCTGAATCATGAAACAACTCGCCTCCACGAACAGTGGTATTATCTGTGATTGATTGTATTAACGGTGGTGCATCGAACAAAAACAAAGGAGCTGACGAAGAGAAAAGGGTTTGATTTTGAACTGGTGGCTTTGTCGTTAATTCTTGATTCACCAAGTGATCTAGTACTTGACCAGAGCAGTAGTTTATATGGGAATGTTCATTAGATGATGCACTAGTTGTGATTGCAGGTGTACAGGGTTTTCTTATCTTCTTTTTGATCCATGAATTCCAGTAATTCTTTATCTCGTTGTCTGTTCTTCCAGGTAAGTGGCTTGCTATATGAGCCCATCTACAATGCCCTCATCTTTGTTAGAGATTATTATCATATAAATAATATAACAACACTGATCAAGTGCTGGAGAGTATACACATGTATATGTATGTATACATATGTATAATTTAGTTGAACTTGTAAATTCCTCTCAAAGAAGGGGGAAAAAAAGAGGAAAAAAAAAAGAAATTTGGTTGTGGAAATGTTTTAAGTAACTTCAACTGTTTTTGGAAGCAATTGGAGAGGAAATTATATGCAAGATTAAAACTTGAACTTGTAGTGATATTGTTTAATTCCTTAAACAAATGGCAAAGAGGAAAAAAACAAATTAAGTTAATTAAAATGCAATATATATATATATATAGATATAGATATATATATAGACGCGAGATTTCCACTGAAAGCTCTAAATCTAACTTCTGATATTGCCCTCTTAACGTCCTCCAAAATGTTGGTACTCATCATATAGCTGTTTGAACAACTGCTAAAAGCGAGCTTGCTTATTGTTATAATTGCTTGCTTTATATAAATATATGTAACTAATTTTTATAATTAAGAAAATTGAGTATTTGTATAAAAAATAATTTTTTTTTTTTAAATGTGAGCTTGGAAATTAAATAATAATTTGGACTTAAACAGGCATTTGGGTCTGAGTAGAGAAGTGATAAGCTTATTCCCAGATATATAATTCTCTTGGTTTTTCGGGTTTCTAAATGAATGCTTATATAATTGTACCTGTTTCCCACAACCCCATGAAGGCTAATAATCAACTTCTCTTCCTCCGGAGTGAACCTCCCTCTTCTGATATCAGGCCTCAAATAATTAATCCATCTCAATCGGCAACTCTTACCACATCTTTGAAGACCTGAAAATGCCAATTACAGCTTAATAGGATGTATATATCTATACCTGAAGTAAATTACACTATTATTATTATAGTAAAACCTTTCACTACTCCAATAGCGAAGAAAAAAAGGTCAAAAAGAAAAGAAAAGAAAATTAAATGAGTAATATATATATATATATATATATATAAATATGATGAACCTGCTTTTTCTGGGACTTCACTCCAGCATCCATACCCATGAGATGTGATATATCTAATAAGCTTTTCATCTTCCTCCGGTGACCATAGGCCTCTCTTCACCTTTTGTTGGTTACAGCAAGAGTGATGCCCCATATATACAAGAATATATAGTATATATATGTGTATATATGTATATAATCCCTATTTAATTTCTTCTTCTTCTTCTTCTTCTTCTTCTTCTCGGACCTTGTAACAACACTCTCTGATCTTGTGGTTAATATTTCAGTTTGATGAGGAAAATGAAAATCATCAGAGAGAGTATAGGGAGAAGAGGAAGAAAGAAGTTGAAATGGGCACGAGTGTTTGCCCTATTTAACAAGTTTCCGATTAGTAGAAAATTGAATGAATCAGCCGACATTTAAAGGGGGCAACGGGGACCCATATTTTTTGTTCATCTAACCCTAAAGCGACATTTTATCAATCGACTTTCATTTAATATAATTATTACTTCTGCCACTCTCTACGTACACTTGTAATATTACGTTATAACATTTCACGTACCCTTCATAGCCTCTCTCGCCATCAACACCATTGTTTTCAATTCTTCAATCATTAGCTACTACGTGGTTTACTATTTCTACTACGTATATATGTATGTAGATTTACTCCTCTCATCTCCCTGCAAACAAATACATCAGATGGATTCAATATGCTTTGTTCTGCTGCGAAAGATTAGATTCTAATCATAGCAGTAATAGGATGAGTGTAAACGAAGACTGACTGAGGTTAAAGAAGAAGATAAAAAGAGTGGTGAGAGAAGTAGAAAATTCAAAAGTTGAGAAAAACTAATTGAGAGAAAACGTAAATTATACACCATAACTGGGGACAAGCTACTTTAACCATCATTTAGTTAATTAATTTTGTAAGTATAGATAGAATCAATTTTGATATTTTAAATTATTGTAATTACTTACTTAAAGTTATTATTTTATTTTGATTTTTAATTTCACATACTGTTTGATTAAATTTTTATATTGAATATATTTACAAGATTTAAATCATGATATGATAATACCATACACATGTTTAGTAAGCCAGACTAATCGTGATACATGAGACACATGTGCAATAAATACCAGTCACAAATTTTTTTGTGAAAAAAATTTATATCAACTATTAATTAATTAATTAATTGCATCTATTTTAAATAATAAAAAAAAATTAATTGTTATAAAATATTTTTTTATTAAAATTATAATAGTTTATTAAAAAAATAAATAAATAAATTTAATCACGGCATATTCACTAAAATACTAAATAATTAAACTCTATTTTTATTAAATTAATATTATGAATTTATAATATATTCTGAAAATAATAAACTCTCAATAAAATTTAAATACATAAATTTTAAATAGAGTGCCGAATTCTTCACCAGCAAACCATATAACTTTTATTGATACCAATTAAGTTTCCAGACAGGAGATAAATATTTCACATCAACACGCACGAATTCCCAGTTCATGTTCATTTAAAATAAGGCGACACCGGAATGCCTTTGTGAAAATGAAATCACTTAATTAAGATTTTCCTTAACCCTTACTTTAAATATATATATGTATATACACATGCATATCTAATTTATATATTTATTTCAAACAATAGACAAGACTCGGTTGCTGTTTCTTGATTGCCACCTTGGTAATCTACTGGTGACGTTTGCTTGCATCACGTAAGTCATGAACTCTCATAATTTTTAGCCTCTCAAATGGGCTTTATGGTGAATTAAAAATTTAAATATTTCACATTTGAGAAATTTTTTTTTATTTTTTTTTTAATTATTGTGATTAAGGAAATTAAGTTAATTACTGTTAGTTTAACTTATGCACTCATTAAACTAACACTAATTATTTATGACCTTTTTGAAAGCAACTAATTATTGCTCATTTTTAGATTAAAAAATTAATTTGTATATTTTTCAAAAGTAATTAATGTTCATTTTGAGAATAGAGAGATCGACATATATAATTTTAAACTATTATAATTGTGTGAATAAAGTTAACCCAAAAAAATATACATTTATACGTGTGTGTGTGTGTGTGTGTGTATATATATATACATAGACATGTATTCTTGATTAACTTGACTTAATTTTTTCATTTTGCACTTTGCTTTACTAACAAGAAAACAAAACAAATATTGCTCCTTCTGTAGGAAAAATTTTTCTATGCTTAGCATTATAAATACTTGCCCAATCCTGCTGGTTGCTCATTTGCAACAGTCCCTTGATGAGACATGCACATACATATATATATATATATATATATATATATATATCTCAAGCATACATGCACCACTTTACATGTATATATCTCAAAACAAACTTAATTATCATATTTCTTTTTGACTGTGTATATACAACCTAACAAGGAGCTAATTAATTAATTACGTACCTCAAGTCTCTTCAATCTCTTATATCATTCCATCACTCTAAATAATGTCTGAACGTTTTGCATGTGGGACATATAATTTTTATGATCATGAGCTTAATGAGTTGTACTTCAATTCCCTCGATATACATTCAACCTCAAACTCATGGCTTCACCTAGCTAGACTAGTTTCTTCAGTTGATTTTTGTAACAAAAGCTGCAATAATAAATAAAATATTTATTATTTTAATTAATTACAAATTAGTATATATATTTCACTATGTATAAAAGATCTCCTATATATAAAAAATTAAATTTATATTTTTTTATTTATATAACTTAACGTATCAAATAAGGAAGTAACATTCTCTTGAGATTATCCGGATGACTTATATGTTTAATATGTGAAGTTTCCAGATTTTGTTGTGTTATGGCTCAAAAACCAGAAGTCTAATGTTAATTCATTAATGATATTTGTTAATTAGAAAAAGATGAGTTTATAGTTTAAAAGATACCTTTACGATAATTTGAGGTTTAATTTTTTTTTACATGTTAATACAATAATTACTTTATATAGAAAAGATGAAATTTTGTGAGAGAAGAGGAAGAGAGAGATCGTTGAAGACAATTTTGAGTTCTGATTTTGTAGAGACAATTCAGATGTCATCTACCGTTGGATTATGCTGATATTTGGAAAACTTATACTAGACACTTGATTCTGTACTTTGATAGTTGGATTTATGCTTTCACCATCGAGTTTTTTAAAATTATTTATTGAAGACATTCTTAATTTTTTGATTGAAAAAAAAATTATTATTTTTACAGTACTCTTTCAGTTAAATACTAATATATATATATATAGATACACAGTACTCAACTCATGATTATCAAATATGTCTATAACAACTCATGAATGATCTAGTGATTGAAGTTTTTACATTAAGATTTAGTTAAATAATAATCTATTAGTTATATATATATATTAACTATATATTCACGAAGCACATATATAGCCTCCGACAAGTTCATTTCACTGTCCGCTTTGATCATAGCATATTCAAAGTTCTAATACATTCATATGATAATATTATTATTCTTCTTTGTTATTAAAAGAACTTATACATACCTAAAGAGAGGCAGGCACATATATATATATATGTGTGTGTGTGTGTATATAAATGTTTATATATGTACATGCATATAAACGTAAACATGGAGAGATAAATATAGAAGTGAAAGCAAAAGGGTCCGTTGATTGATACAAATCATCCACCATATTTGATGTAAGAATAAGAAGTGACTTTTGCTTGGATGGATCGCAAGCTAGCTAAAACTTTGAAAGTAATGTACAAATGATTTTTTAAAAAATGACCTTTTTAGAGAGGATTTTAAAACTGTGAATGATTGATTTATGTTTAGCTTTAAGGAGGAGCAAGTGGAATTTCAAATGGCCTACCAATTGGAATTTGCTTTCTTTTTTTGGTAAAGTAGCCTCTTGAAAATATTTAAATGTAGTTTAATTCTAGAAATGGCTATTCATCTTTAACTCATCTTTTAATTATTATAATAAAATTACTAATTTTTTTTTTCTAAATCAATTATTTAAATTTATTTATTTATTTATTAAAAAATATATTTTTAACGTATCAATCATATTATTAAAAAGTTCAATTAATATGATATGTTTTTTTTTTAAAATTCAATAAAAAATGAGTCCATCAAAGATTACCTCTTCCCCCATTTAATTATCATTCATCTTCTCATAAATTTAATCTATCTAGAACTCATTTTATTTTATTTTATTTTTAATAATATTGTATCATGTGACTATTACATTTGCAATTTTTTCTTTTAATTTTAAAAAAACAAGTTTAATTTATTTAAAAATAAAGCACTTTATAATAATTGAAATTCAAGAGACCATATTGAAAATACGAGCTAAGAATCAGAAACTTTTTTTTGCAATTAAGTCGTTTAAATATATTAATTCTTTTAGAAGAAATTGATAATATAATTTGAAACTGAATCATCAATTTCACAAAATATACGTAGATCACGAAATTGGATCTTATAATTTTTTAACCTTAGAAGAAGATACAAGTATATCAAAAGATGTAGATTTAAATTTGTTGATAGTGATAGAAAAGAAGAAGAAGAAGAAAGAAAAAAAAAAAAAAAGCATCGGGAGTTTTTCATTTTAAATCATGGTTGGTTAAGTTAGTAAGTCATGGATGGAATATTTCTACCATAAGCTGTTGATATTTCCTCATGATTATCACTCTAAAATTCATTTTTGTCACTCACATGAGGGGCTACTACAAATCTTTCTATATGGGCCACTGTTTGCTTTTATATCCGGGCATTCACCTTGAAACACCGTCACTAAATTTAATTAAACTAGTCCTCACTCTTTTTGGTCCAATAAAATAAGATTTTGTTTAGTAATAAAATTGCTTTTCAATTTTAAAGAAGAAATATACGCCGTGTGTGTGTGTGTATATATATATATATAAGTAAAAGAAATCAATGGGCTGATCCAACTTCTAATGGATGCAAAAGGACGACCAATCCATTTGGGTATTGATTAATTGTGTTTATTACTAAAAATGGTTTAAAGTTAATAATCATTACGTGCATGATCACATTACTTATATATTATAACATATCTTTGCTACAAATAATAAAATATTGTATTGTCACTGTAGGTAGAGATCTATCGAGTTA